AGAGACAGAGAAAGAGACAGTAGACAGTAGACATAGAAAGGAGACAGATAAAGGAGACAGATAAAAGAGACAGAGAGAGACAGTAGACATAGAAAGGAGACAGATAAAGGAGACAGATCAAAGAGACAGAGAGAGACAGTTCACAGAGACAGACAGTAAAGAGAGAGAGGAGACAGATAAAGGAGACAGATAAAGAAGACAGATAAAGGAGACAAATAAAAGAGAATGAAAGGAGACAGAGACAAACAGAAGAAACAAACAGAGACAGAGATGAGAGACAGATATAAACAAATAGACAAAAGAACAAAGACAATAGACCTGAGGGAGATAAAAACAGAGAAATGCAGCAAAATTCAAAGGAGACAAAGAGACAGCTGAGGAGACAAAAAACCCTCGCTAAGATATATTAATAACGCCAGGCCCCATGCAAGCACTCGTCTGCTATATATATATATATATATACATATACCTACATATATATATAAGCATATACATATATATATATATATATGTATAGCACTCACATACATATATGTAGATTGACTTATATATATATATATATATATATATATAGGAGAGGGAGAGAAAGAAACTGAAACATTAATAAGTTTAATAATACAAATATATATATGTATATAAGTATGAGTTTATATATATATATAAATATATATATATATATATTGTATATAGATGCTACATACTAATGCATCTATACACACGTAAGTGTGAGGACATACAGAATATATATATATATATATATATTTATATATGTGATATGCATAATAATATACATATATGCAAATATATATATATATGCATGTATATAATATATATATATAATATATATATATATATATATGTATATATATATATATATATATTCATATACAGAAAGACGAGCCCTAGGTGAGTTGGTACAGGATGAAGAGGCGGAGACAGAAGACAGAGACAGGAGACAGAGTAGAAAGGAGACAGAAGAAAGACAAAGGAGACAGTAGAAAGGGACAAAAGAGACAGAAGAAGGAGACAAAAGAGACAGTAGAAAGAGACAAAGGAGACAGTAGAGAGAGAAGAGAAAGGAGACAGAAGAAGGATGAGAAGAAGGAGACAGGAGACAGAAGTCAGAGGAGACACTTAAAGAGACACACAGCAGCAACATACCCTAAGTGCTACGCTGCTGCTCCTTCCTTATAGACAACCATAGGGGGGCCCCCTGGGGGCCCCCCTATAATATAATAATTGTCTAGGGTTGTTAAAGAAAGAGTTTTATTGTATTTAAATATATTTAATTTAATAATATTAATTTATTTAATTAAAATAAACGCTTATAACAACTGCATGCAGCAGAAGAATACATACTATAAGAACAGCTTTACCTTAGGGGCCCCCGGGGGCCCCCAGGGGGCCCCTCAGCTGCTAGCAGTGAGAGAAGAAGCAGCAGTTTGCTGCTGTATGTTCTTCTCCTTTCTAAAGATATTATTTAACTTCTTTTTGTGTTTACTGTCTCCTTTTGTCCCCTTCTCCTCTCTTTAAGCTGCTTCAACCTACAGCAGCCTCCTTCGATGCCTGCCCCCGGTGAGCTAGCGCAGCAGCAGCAGCAGCTGCTGCAGCAGTAGCTGCAGAAGCTGCTGCTGACGGAGGAGCAGCAGCAGCTTCTGCTGAAGCAAGAGCAGAAGCTGCTGCAGCAGAAGTAGTAGTTGCAGCAGCAGGTTTGGTAGCTGCTGCAGCAAGGGTTGCTGCCGGAGCAACAGGCTACTGCAGCAGAGTCACCCGATGCTGCAGCAAGAGCTGTTGCTGCAGCAGCAGCTGCTGCTACAGCGGCAGCTGCTACAACAAGGGCAGTTCAGCAGCAGCAACACCTGAAGCATGTGTTGGTGCAGCAGCAGCACCACCACCATCTCCACAGGCCCCAGCAGCAGCAGGAGCAGCAACAGCAACAACAGCAGCAGCAGCAGCAAATTTATTATATTTGCTGTTGTGTATAATTTATCATTGCGCTCAGGCCGGCAAGGGGGGGGGGCCCCTCAGGGGCCCTCTTTGAATGCCTTAGCCCTCCAAGAAGAGTTGGGTACGCCAGTACAAATCCTAAACCCTAAACCCTAAACCCTAAACCCTAAACCCTAAACCCTAAATCCTATCCTTCCATAGCCACCAAGCCGTAAACCCTAACTTTTATGTTGTAACTTTTAAACCTTAAAGCCTAAACCCTAGCCGTTAAACCCTAAACCCTAACCGCTAACCCCTAATAAACCCTAACCCCAAGCCTCTAAACCCTAAAGCCTAAACCCTAAGCCCTAATGGCGGTGTTGTTGCGAGTTTGTTGATTAGATGTGCGGGAGCAAATAAACAAAAAGCTGAAAGAGGCCCTGGAGGAGAAGGCGAGGGAGACAGATGAGCAGCGGACATTCTTCTTAGAGATGGAGACACTTTTGTCACGCTTTGTCTCTTCGTCTTCGTCTCCTTCTCACCAGTAAGCTCTATATATAAAATATATTTTATATATACTTTAAACTATATTTAATATATTTTAATTAATCAACAAACTATGCACCTAGTAGAAATAATAATAAACATTAACATACAAAAAATGCATACAAAACGCCACAAGGAGACACTTGCGGGGCCCTAGGAGACACTTGGGGGCCCCCCAGGAGACACTTGAGGGGCCCTAAGAGACACCCGCAGCGGGGGGTGCGGCCCCCCAGGAGACACTTAGGGGGCCCCCAGGAGACACTTAGGGGGCCCCCAGGAGACACTTAGGGGGCCCCCAGGAGACACTTTGGGGGCCCCCAGGAGACACTTTGGGGGCCCCCAGGAGATAGACACTTGGGGGCCCTAGGAGACACTTAGGGGCACCCAGGAGACACCCGGGGGCCCCCTTTGGGGCCCCCTACGATGTATGTAGGGGCCCTCAACGAGGCAGTTCATAGGGGGCCCTTTAGGGGTTATACAGCTGCGTGTACACTGCAAAAAGGCTATAAATAAATACAAAGTATAACAGAGTTTGTTGTGCTGCTATGCAGACAAGAAGAAGACAAGAAGAGCCTCACAGGGACTGTCTCCGCCGCCATACGCAAACTCCTTGCTGCCCTCGATCATGCACAAGAACAACTGCAACAAGCGTAACTGCAGCAGCAGCAGCAGCAGCAGCAGCAGCACAGCAGCAGCGGCAACAGTAGCAGCAGCAGCAGCAGCCACAGCAGCAGCAACTGCTGCAGCAAGAGTAGGGAGGGGTATCTGCTGTTTGTTTGGTTTGTGTGCTGCAGGTCTGAGTGCATGCAGCAGCTGCAGCAGGAGAAGCAGCAAACGGAGGAGCAGCTAGCTCGGACGCGTTTGTCTCTGCATGCAGCAGAGAGAGAGTGCTTGCGGTTGCAGCAGTTAGATAAACAAAGAGAAACCCTCGCCCTACAGGCACAGGTGTGGGGCCCCCTTCCCTCGAGCTCCTGTCTCCTCCTACGGATGCAGCAGCAGCAGCAGAAGCAGCAGCAGGGGCCCTGCTGCTGCTGCGCTTTCTTATGATGAGGGTTTAGGGTTTAGGGTTTAGGGTTTAGGGGTTGCGCTTTGGCGTCTGCGGGATAGGGTGTGGGAGTTAGGAGTTAGGGCAGGGAATAGCTGTTAGAAAGTAGGGTTTAGAGCTTAGGATTTAGGGTCTAGGGTTTAGGGTTTAGGGTTTAGGGTTTGTGCGCAGGCCCAGCAGCGTACGTTGAAGCAGCAGGCGCTTCTCATTGATGGCCTCAAGCAGCGCTGCAGCACTCTGGAGGCGGAGAGGTAACCAGTTGTTCTTCTTAAAGAAAAGCAGCAGCAGCAGCAGCAGCGGTTGCTGCTGCTGCTGCTGCTGCTGCTGCTGCTGCTGTTGATGGTGCTGCTGCATCGATAGCAGCATCGCTTGGCTGCCGTTACTCGGGAGTATTGTAGAGGTGCCGCTGTTGCTATTCCTGCTGGTGTTGCTGCTGCTGCTGCTGCTATTGCTGCTGCTGTTGTTATTGTTGCTGCTGCTGCTGCAGGCGTGAGTTAACAGCAGCACAGAGCACCAGTGCAGGAGGCAGCACTTCTTCATTTCGTTCAATGCTTGCTTCATGGGGAGGCGGAGAGCAGACACCCCGCTACAGAGGCCCTGCTACAGCAGAGACAGAGGCAGACGACGTGCTCGCCTACACCCTAGCAGAAGGACTAGAGGTCAGCCTGCTGCTGCTGTTGCTGTTTCTCCTGCTGCTGCTTCTCTTGCTCCTGCTGCTGCTGCTGCTTCTGCTGCTGCTGCTACCTCAAGGCCGCCCCACTTGCATGCATGCATGCATGCATGCATGCGCATGTCTGTTTGTTTGGTGCTGGGGTATAGTTTTATATTTATTCTTTAAATATCTTTCTGCTGGGTTTGTAGGATGGGTTGAGAAGAAGAAGACCCCCAGAGAGGCGCTGGTGCTGCTGCTGCAGGAGGCGCCGCTACGGTGGCTTCACCTCCTGCACTATTCAATAAACTAATCATAAACAACCTCAACAACTACCTCCACCTCATGGGGGGCCCCCCGAGTTAAAGGGGGCCCCAACGGTTCAAGAGGGCCCCCCGAGCTCAAGGGGGCCCCAGGGGCCCCAGGAGGGCCCCCAGGGGTTTAAGTGGCCCCAAGGGTTCAAGGGGGCCCCCAAGTTAAAGGGGGCCCCTGGAGGGCCCCCAGGGGTTCAAGGGGCCCCAAGGGTTCAAGGGGGTCCCCCGAGTTAAAGGGGGGCTTCAAGAGTTTAAGGGGGGCCCCGTGAGCTCAAGGGGGCCCCAAGGGTTCAAGGGGGCCCCTCAGAGCTGAGGGGGCCCCCCCAATCAGCAGGGCCCCCAGGGACACACGGGATAGGGGGCCCCCCGGGGCTCCCGGAGGGCCTCCAGGGATTCAAGGGTGCCCCTTATTCTGTTTCGGTTGCATAGGGGGGCCCCCTGAGGTCAAGGGGCCCCTTCTATGGGGGCCCCCCGGTTTGAGTAGTATAAGGGTTGACAGGCGGTGGTTGAGGGGCCCCTGGGGGCCCCTGCTTCAAGGGCCCCCTGATAGCATGCAGCACAACGCAGCGCAGGAGGGGGCCTCCTGGGGCCCCTTATCCGCAGGGGGGGCCCCAGGGGCCCCATCATGACCTGGGGAGGGAGGGGCCCCAGGGGGCCCCCCGCTGGGTATATAAGGCTGGGGCAGCGATGCTAGGGGGTTTAGGTTGCTCTTAAGTGGCTTTGTTTGTCTCCTTCTTTGCTTGAACTCTATCTTTTGTCTATTTGTTTTTGTCTCTGTTTGTCTCCTTCTCTGTTGGGGGTCTCTGCCTCTTCCTAGGGTTTGATTCGGGTGTCTCCTTGGAGTCATATATAATATGAAGCCTCACTCTGTCTCCTTTTGTTTATTTGCTAGAGCAGCAGCAGCACCCCTTATCTCCAGCAACAGAAAACAATAGAGGCATATGTGGGGCACTGTCTCCCTTCCCAGGTAGGTGGCTAGCTGGCTAGCTAGCTAGCTAGCTACTTGCCCTTAGGCAGCCAACTGTCTCCTGTCTCCTTCTTGTCTCTGTCTCTGGTGTCTCCACTGACGTTCACACCGCGTGCATGCACGTATGCATGCATGCATACATGCATGCGCCAGGCAGCCCCAAAGTCATTGAGGGCCCTACTTACCCTTAGAGAGGATATAAACAAACTACTGGTGTACAAAAGGAGACAGCAGGACCCTGACTGTCTCCTCTGGGCCCTTTGCTAAATCAACAGAAGGCAGCAAAGGGGCCCTTTCATAGTTATGGGGCCCCCATATAATATCAGGGGGCCCCCTTATAATATCAGGGGGGCCCCTTATAATACCAGGGGCCCCCCCTATTAATTCAAGGGGCCCCCGTTGTACCCTTGGGGGCCCCCCTCGTATCTTATTGGCTGGTGTGTCTGGGTGCCGCACTCCTTTTAAAACCAAACCCTAATAGTATAATAATATAATGATATTATAATATTGTTATAGAGAAGAGTTTGCGTTTATATTTATTAAAAAGGAGACAGTTGAGGGCTGCGAAGTGTCTCCTTTTGTCTCTGCTTGCTGCTGCGGGGATCTCCCCACCGCCAGGCTATGCACAGCTGCCCCATACGATAGCTCGTTAGCTACCACGCTTTATAGTCCCCCAATCAGCTAGCTAGCTAGCTAGCTAGCTAGCTAGCTGCAGCAAGTTCATAAGGGCTGAACGCCCTACTACCCTTAGGGTTTAATCGGGGCCCCCTTTTCGGGTTGTTTGCAGAGCAGAGGAGATGACGTGTCTCTTGTCTGTCAGCAGCCGCACCGCCTCCTTTTAATTAATATACGTTCAGGTGTATCTGCAGCTGCGGTGTACGTATACCCTAAATGCATGCTCCTGCCCCCCTCCCCCCCTCCCACAGCAGAAGACTCTGAGTTGCTGCTGCTGTTGCAGCAGCAAGAGATACTAAATAGCAATTGAAATATAATAATTTACTTATTTAATGTGGGGTTTTCGCTGTTCTTTAGGGAGACTGCTGCTGTATCTGCAGGCTGCTGCTGCTGCATGTCGTGAGGTGTACGTACACCGCGCGGTGTATTATATAAACAGCAGCAGCATCTCGAGGTATTTGCTTGGTGTATAATCCAATTAATTAATATTTAATAATATAATTAATTTAAATTAAATAAAAGAATAAACACACACTCTTCCAGAAGAAACGCTGGACGAGCCCCCCCTGTCGGCACCAGTCCCGTAGCCGCCGCTGCTGCTGCTGCTGCTGCTCTTGCTGCTGCTGCTGCTGCTGCTGCTACTTAAGAAGCAGAGCTAACATTCTCTCTGAGCAGTAGAAGCTCTGTGCGATCCCTCTACCTCCTCCCTCGCTTACTCTCGCCTTGCTTGCTGCCTACACCCCGCGGCAGCAGCAGCAGCAGCAGCAGCAGCGGCGACAGCAGCAGCAGCTTGGGGCTGGTTGGTTGTGCTGCTGTTCCTTGTAGAAGGGCCTTAGAAAGCTGCTAGCATTTCTTGCTGTCTCCTTTCTGCAGCAGAGCCGGCCCCTCACCAGTTCTTGAAGCAGCGTTTGCTGCTGCAGTTTGGGCGGCGGCGGCAGCAGCAGCAACAACAGCAACAACAGCAGCAACAGTAGCAGCAGCAGCTGCTGCTTGCACGTCTGGGAGACGTGCAGAGTGAATAACACTTAGTTGAGGAGCGCGCTGTACATACACCTGACGATGGTAAGCAGCGCATCACAGAGACCCAACCGAGAGCAGCAGCAGCAGCAGCAGCAGCAACAACAACAGCAACAACAACAGCAGCAGAAGCAGATATCGCAGGATTAACAGCAGCAGGCTTCGGTTTGCGCTGTCTCCTTCAATGGCCGCAATTGCTAATGAATGCCTGGTTCTTCTGTGTATCTGCTGCTGCTGCTGCTGCTGCTGCTGCTGCTGGTGCAGGATGAGTACAACGGCAGCGCGGTGGTTGCAATGACAGGGTCTGAGTGCGTAGGGATAGCAGCAGATCGGCGTCTCGGCATCAACCGCTTCAACACAATCAGCAATGAGTTTAATAAGTGCTTCCGCCTGAGCAGCAAATGTTTTGTTGCCTTTCCGGGGCTTGCAACAGATGTACAGACCATGTGCGTATACACCGCAGCATAACATCTCTTTATTCTTATACATTAAGCAGATAACTACACAGCATATTTATTGTTCTGAGGGTCTTAGGGGTTTGTAGTGTTTAGGGTTTATAGGTCTTTAGGTTTAGATATTTCGTAGGGTTTAGGGTTTAGGGTTTCTAGGGTTTACGGTTTCTAGGGTCTAGCTGATTTTCGAGGGTTTAGGGTCTACGATTTGTGGTTTAGGGTTTAGGGTTTAGGGTCTAGAGCCTGAGAGCTTATGGTTTAGGGCCTAGGGTTCAGGGTTTAGGGTTTAGGGTTTAGGGTTTAGGGTTTCTAGGGCTTGAGGAGTAGGGCTTGAGGAGAGCGTTAGGGCTTTGCTATGGCGGGTTTTAGGGTCGGCCGTGAGGGTTTAGGGTTTAGGGTTTAGGGTTTAGTAGCCTCCTTATTCATTTTTCTTCACTTTCTCGCGTGTTTGTATATCTGTCTCCTTTTATTTGATTGTCTCTATTTGTTTATATGTGTCTCCTTGTATGTTATTGTCTCTACTATTTTGTATCTGTCTCCTTTTATATTATTGCCTCTAATTGTTTGTATCTGTCTCCTTTAATGATATCTTCTCAGTGTGTTTATATGTGTCTCCTTTAGCTGTCTTTTTTTGTGTATTTGTTTGTGTGCATGCAGGCAGAAGGAGCTGCAATTTCGGTGCAATTTGCTGTCTCTTCGCGAAGACTTGCGTGTACTGTCTCCTTCAAGTGTCTCCTCTTTGATATCTTCAATGTTATATGAGCGACGCTTCGCACCCTTCTTTGTGTCTCCTGTTGTCGCTGGTCTGGAGTCAGAGACTAATAATAATACTCCTTTTCTAGCGGGCTTCGATTGTATCGGGGCTGCATGCAAAGCTCACGACTTTATTGCAGGCGGCACTGCTAAAGAACAACTGGCTGGCATCTGCGAAGCTATGTGGAGACCTAATATGGTGCTGTCTCCTTTTCACTGTCATCTGCGAAGCTATGTGGAGACCTAATATGGTGCTGTCTCCTTTTCACTGTCTCCTTTTGTCTCCTTTTTACTGTCTCCTTTTAACTGTCTCCTTTTGTCTCCTTTTAATTGTCTTCTCTTGTCTCCTCTTGTCTCCTTTTCACTGTCTCCTTTTGTCTCCTCTTGTCTCTTTTTAACTGTCTCCTCATGTCTCCTCTTGTCTCCTT